ACCCGATTTGGTCTCCATGGCAGGTCGGACTAGACAAGAGTCCATATTTTAATTCCCTTTCGCTATCATCATATTATCCTCCACCTCTATAATTTGTTTTTATTAAAATTTAATTTACATCTGTTATCCTTTAAAAAAAACATCCCATTTACCTATCTTTTAAGAATGTTTTGATTCTCCAATCCAAATTATTTAAGTATTCCTGTATATAATAATATGCTAATTAATACTCATTACTTCTATATTTTTCATTTCCTTACAAATCATATTCAACAAAACCGCTATATACTAAATCAAGCTTTACCTCAGCCCGTAATAGCTTTGAAAAGTTTTCCAAATACCTATTTTTTAACCAAAATAATATTGTCCTTTGTAAGTAATCTCAGAAGCTAAGAAATTATAACTCAACTCAGTCCATGTTCCTGTTTTAATTTGATCACCTATATCATCATAAGAACCACCACCACTATATATATGAGTAATATTTAAAGATTTACATATCTTTACCCTTATAAAAAACATGCCACAGACCAATTTTAGAACCATTCTTATATTTACCTACGTGTATGATTTCTTATTATCTAAAATTAGCATTTTATTCAACCCATCTTCCAATTTTAATTTCATTCTCGCAATATACTCCTCCGCCTCTGAAGTACAGCAAGAATAATTTTTACATCAATGAAAAATTTTAATAGTTCTTTGGTCTCTCATGAATTTCCCAATTATTGTATTTTTTACCATTTTTATATTGTCCATTAAAAGTTATTTGTGAGTACTCAAAAAATCCATCACTCAATTCAATCCATTACCCAATTTTACTTTCATTACCTAATTAATCATATGATCCACCGCCATAGAAACTTTACTGTAAAAATGGAAAATTACAATTAATTATCATAATTTTCTTTATACTTGATCTCCCATTACCCTATTTTTTTGCCATTTAAATATTCTCCTTACCAAGTGATCAATGATTATCCTTAATTATCGATTAATTCAATCCATTTTCCAATTCTGATACCTTAATGATATTCTCCAACACCACTTATTAAAATGAATAACAATTTTACATTATTTGAAATTAGGTTGTATTAAATTCTTTATAGTAAGTATTCCAAAAACCAATTTTGTTTCCATTTGCATATTCACCAACATATTTTATTTAAGATTACCCATAATGATCGCTCAACTCAATCCACTTTCCATTCTTTTCTCCGTTACCATTTTCATCATAAAATCCACCTGCACTTAGAAATAAATTTATGAAATTTACATCAATTCGTCCATAAATGATGTTTACCAAAGTCCTATCTTATTGCCACATTTATATTCACCATAATGCTAGATCTAAGATTATCCGAAAAAATTTCCATAATTATCATGCAATTCAATCCATTTCCCTATCTTTATCCCATCGTCATAAAATCCCCCACCACTAAAAATTTAATGCTGTAATTACATCTATTTGAATTCCGTCTCTTCATATTTTTTATACCAAGTACTCCATTTTCCATATTTTTGTCCATATAGATATTCGCCTTTGAAAATTATTTATTTAATGAAATCATAGCAATCAATTATTTCTACCCAGTATCCAACTTTAAATTCTTTACCGCTTTCATCATATAGGCCACCACCTCTGATGAAAATAATTATTCAAATTTAGTTACATCTATTAATTATTCTTATACCATATTTCCCATTTACCAATTTTGTTTCCGTCTTTTAACTTACCAAGATGTAGAATACCAGAGTTGCTAAATTAAGTTCATTTTTTACCCTTCACTTCTAAATATTTCTTAACCATCACTATTATAAGTGACAAAGGCACTAATTTTATATTATAATTTTATACAGCAATTAAATAAAATTATTTTCTTTAATAAATGATTTCCATAATCCAACTTTTTTCCCTTTTTCATATTCCCCAGTGTAATTGATTTAATTTCTTTCAAAATTATCATCAATATCAGTCCATTTCCCATATTTTAATTCATTGCCACTTTAATCATATAATCCCCCACCACTATATAAAATTTCACTATTGATATTTACATCTATTAATTATTCTTATACCAAATTTCCCAATTACCGACTTTTGACCCATCTCTGAGCTTACCAAGATGTAGAATACCAGATTTCCTAAAATTAGGTTTCATTTTATACACTTCACTTCTGTAAATTTCCTAACCATCATTATTAT